CCATGGCATTTTGAGATTCCCAGAGATGTCTGCTCGGAGATAGACACGTGCTCGGGGAAAGCGAGCCCTGCCCGAACGACGATAGCTAGAGAGCCGGGACTTGCATAATTTTGTAGAGTAACGTCCGGACTATCTATGCATGCAAAAAAATTACTAACATTGTATGTTAGTTTTCTGAGAACGAAGTTGGTTTTCAAGAGATCCTCTTAAAACCCGATCTCTGGAATTTTTTCAAAAGGTGCTTCCGCTTGTGAAAAGTTCTGCTCAAGTCTTGGCTATTGAACAGCGAAAATCGGAGGTCTCTATCTCATTCCTATCAAAATTTATTCAAAAACCAACCAGCGGTCTGACCATTTGGAACGGATAGTAGTAGAGGTAAATAGGAAAACACAAATTGTACAGCTTCTCTAATATATATATATATATGCAGTTCTCTTACATAAGGCAATATAAGTCGTGAAAGTTTGTATATACGAATTATGTTAATCTTATTATAATGCGTTGAGAATTTAATCGAACTCTGCTGTTTAAGTTATTTTTGATGCGCGAGACCTATTGAAAATTCATTTAAAAACTGGTACAAACTTGCTATCGAATCGCACATATCTTCATTAGCTGAAAATAGTTGTCTTCTGACTCGAAGGCTATCTTTTAACGTCTGCGATTTCCATTCATGCCGAATTAATAGTTTACCTAGATAATCGCATCCATCCGGCATGAAATTGATTTGATCAGGTGTCACAAGAAAATGTCTTTTGTTTTCTCTCATGGAATCAACGGCTGTGATACCGTCATAGGGATGCGCAGGTTGATTTCGATTAATTTTATTGCTATTTGACTTCCAGTACAAATCATGCCAAATAGAATTAATTTCTCTGACAACTTCTTCACCCTCTAATTTATCCTCTTTCCACATACGTTCAAGATAAACTACATCGCATCCACTTCCACCAACTCTATGGAATGTTTGAACAACTTCTTCTTTGCCATGTCGTTGCATTGCTTTTCCATAACCGACGACATGCAGACGAACATCGAAATCATAAATAATATGACGTTTATCATAAATAATTTGTCGAGCAAATTTTGTTTTCATTTTTGATGAAATTCTTCGTGCTTCGTAAGCCCACTGACGATTTAGGAGACCCATATGACCGAAATCCGTTGATGAGAGCGCACGATCCAAAATCATAGCAATCACTTCATTCGGTAACTTATTAGCAATAACAGGATTATTTTTATGATTTATCTGATCCATTAGTCAGAATAAAATCACCACTGAAATGTACACTACAAAAATACTGGATCTATTGATAAAAACTGGATATTTATAAAGAGGACTTCAAGTCAATATTTTTAATCTTTCTTTTCCTTCTTGAGTAGAGGATAAAATACGTGTATATGTTAACCTCCATTGCATAAGTAACTATAGAACGAGAAAAAAATGATGGTCATCTGACATTAGAATATGCACAAGGATGTCACCTGTGACACAAATAAACAACTATTACTTACTAGTTAAGTTACGTTAGATGAATAAAAATTTTTTTTGAAGAATCATAACGTTCTCTTAGACAAACCTTTGCGCATGAACGTATTAATTCCAAATGGGTTAGTTTTTACTATTAACCAGCACTCATAAATACTACTATGCAATAAGGTAAATTTATCGACTATAGTGAATTGATGTAATTGTGATTTGGAGGTGAATATTAACATAATCATAACCGGCACATAACACCACTTTTAGCAATTGTCGGAAAATGATTGTTATGATGCACATTTTTATGTCAATATTTTCGAACTTATTGGTCCAAAATCAGCAAATGAATTTGGTGCGATAAAATTATGATCAAAACATGAAGATATACGATAAGAAAGAATAAATTCAATTTATTCGATGTTTTTAAAATGTGCAAAATTATATTATGCATCTACTTTAAGATCAATAAACTTCTGCTTTTTTGTTGTACGCATGTAATTTTGAAAAAATGTAAAACTAACGTATGTGTTTTATTAAATCATGTAGATAAATGATATTTGAAAACTCAGTTGTATTCTCGTATAAAGTTGCTAAAACATTAGTAAAATTTCCAATAAACTACAACCTAATAATCAGCACCACCAGAGGTGCAGAATCTATCCGTAAGATTGAGAAGTTTTTCCTGGCAAAAAATGTTTTTAAACAAAGTCCACGACATAATACACGAATAGAGTTTCTTTTTGCATAATATTTGCAAAAAGAAATTCCAATTTTCCCCGAATCAATAAGTTTTTTCCCGACGACTGTCGGAACAAACAAGCAGATTCTGCAGCTCTGAGCACCACACTGAATCTTTCCCTTGTTTGCTACTTTCAAAGATATAATCTAATTGTACATAACTGTTTTGAAGAAAGTTAGAAAAGATAACTTTATAAAAAACCAAGAAACCATAATAAATTGCTTATATAGAAAAGCAGCAACAAAATACTGCAAAAAAATCTGATACTAATAGTTATAAACACTATTTAAGTATAGACATATACATAAGAGAAAAAAAAATTCCTCAAGAAATGGTAGTTACATTCTATCTCTATTTTCATAGTGTAAAGCGCCTCCTCTACCGCCCGATAGAGGACCATCAGATAGCTGCTGATATGACGCTTGATGTTGACCTTGTGTGGATGGATGAGTTCTGTCTGAACTTTCAGTTCGATAACCCAATGCTTGTAAATCTTTCGTAACAACATTGAATGTAAGATTTATATAGCCTTGTGAACGAACTCGAGTCACTAAATATAATAAATAAGACGTTTAATCAAATATTTTATAGGATCCTTCTTTACCAGTTACGGAGCCTTTTTTAAATGTAAACGATGTTATCATATCAAAATGAGATGTGTTAGTTTTCTTCACGCAAAAAAGTTAAGTAATGTGCTCAAAAGACAAATCTCGATGCAAATAGATTATTCAAACATTCTCATTAACAACATACTCAATTGCTTTCCATAAAAAGCATTAGACAGTGGAAAAAATCGCTGAATCATTCGACTAAAAAAACGACTTGTTTTTGATTCCGATCTTATGCTGTCACTGAGAAAAATAAAACTTACTCTCTCTTCCTGAATTGAAGGCGACTACTTTTGGATCGACAAATTCTGGTCTTCTTCCTAACATCCATGCCAAAAACTGATGAAAAAGAGACGTAGAACGTGGAACAAACAACGGTATACGAACTTTATGCCTAAAAGAAAAAAAACTATAGATGGGGAAATGTTTTGAAATGAAAATACTTACCGTCCTGGTGTGATTGGAATGTGTGTTGCTCCATATCCTCTTACGACATCATGGCCAAATACATCTAAACCATAGCCACTTAGAACAAGCTGTGGCCCTAAAACAAAATAAAAAAACTATGTACTATCCATTTCAATGAACAATGGAGTCGGTTGTAAGTTGAATAACTCCGGATAGGAAGCAGCTACAGACCTGCGGTTGTTAACATTCGGAAGAGAATAATATTCTTTATTAAGAAATATCGAAAG